TCCATGAAGCCGCCGATTGTCTTGTATGTTTTTGCTTAAGTAGATTACTCTGCCATACATTTTAGATACAATTTATTTATTTAATTTAAAGAGCGCGTAAATAAAATCAACTTCCTGCCGTTTGTTTGCTCCTTGATTATTTCTCCGTCGTTATTTAGGGCTGACTGTGATAAACCGGCGGCTTCGTGAAAGACATAAAATAATGTAGGTTATCAGTGGCCTACATTCTCACTTTACGATAATTTAAAAAAAATGCACAGAGCCATACTGGTGTCTTACTTATATGCTCGGCCATTCGACCCACGTTAGCGACGAGATTCGAGCAGGCGATTCGTCGGCAAAGTGCAGCTTTCCTCGCGTTCGGTTGGAACCGCCGAACGAAAGTCTGTGCTGAGATCTTTGTTTTCGTCAAACACGTTCGCATCTGAAGAAGCCCGTCTTACCGGATACCCCGTTTAAGACCACCGGTGCGGCAGATTCGTTGCATGAAGTCTTCAAGTGGTCGGCACCAGGATTCACGCACGTTTGCATTACTCTCTCTCTCTCGTTGTCCCTTTCAGTTTATGTTCAGCATGAGCAACTGACACCCCGCAGTTAGCTTGCGTGTTGATTCTTGTGACGGCAACCGGGCGCGCTGAACTCGCTTTGCTGCAGCGGCACCGAACACTTGCATGGAAGTACTGTATACCGAGGGAAGCACTGCTAACGAAACGAGTGGATCAGAAGGGGCCGCGCTGTGTGGTCCTGCCGTCTGTCTGCTGTGCAAAGACAAACAAACGGAGTATCCAGGGCCCTTCGTGGGGGGACGGCGCACCGCCGGCTACTGTCCACAGCACGTCGTCACTGATCACGACCAAACAGTTAGAGGCCCATCTGACTCTCCGGCCATTTGGGCTCCCGAGGTGTCGGGTATTTCAGAAACTGGCGAGCTATAGGGAAGAAGCAAAGCACGCTAACAACCGCGTGGCCCTTTTCAGAGATCCGTCTTTTGGTGTGTTCGATGCTGTGATTAGAAGTCCCTTACGCGTAAAATTCATAAAATAGAACAAAAGAATAAATGATGTTAGTAAGATGTTGCAGCAGGCCGGAACACGGTAAAAAATCTTACACCCTTCGTCTCTGAGATTTACACCCTAAGGTACACCATTTCAGTGCCCTATTTTTGACATAATACTACCTTTTCAATCGTGCAAGATGGTGTAGTTGCATTGAACACCTTCCAATTTTGGGGAGGACGTAAAAAGGGTGTGGAATAACTGAAGTGAGTCGAACTCGCTTTTTGAAGGTTTTTCACCAAACTGACACGCACATCAGCGAAGTTATTCAAGCGACAATTTCGAAAAGTTTTAGCCTCTAATAAGGGTTTTTTCTGGTGATACATTTCTTGAACTTAAATATATTCTGCATTACGCGAAATATTGACGAGATCAAAGCAACATACGCGTAATCCTCGTAATTGCGGTGGTTACACGCCTGCGAATACGTGTCTTTGAGTTGTCCAGTCTAGCGATCGAGAAAACCGGGAAAAACGAAAATTGACAGGGAAATTTTAATTACCGGGAAAAATCAGGGAATTGTCAGGGATATTCTCGAAAAGTGAGCCCTGTCAGGAAAAATGAGCCGGAAACGCCATCGAGTTCCCTGAACAATGACTTGAAAACTTTGTGTGTGTGTGTGTGGGGGGGGGGGGGGGGGGGGGCAGGGGGGAGGCAGGGGGGAGGCAGGGGCGGGGGCAGAAAAATAGGCCATAAATTCTGCTTAGAGCGGAGCGCGGGCTCTGTTCATCCCATGTAGAGTGTGCTACGTGGTAGCGCGTCGTGTTTTCAATTGTTTCCAGAAGTGGCCTTTCACTGACAATGTCGGCGGCAAGAAAGTGCTCGTTTAATCCGGACTGGACGACCCCGAATATTTTGGAATATGCAAGTTGGATTAAGTCGATGCGAAATGATCGTCAAAGTGCTCAATGCTCAATGTTTTGTGTTGTAATGGTTTTACATATTTATCCTCCTCTACAGTGGTCAGGGAATTTCACCTGAAATTGTCAGGGAATACCTGAAAAAGTGAGGGAATTTCCAAATTATAATTTTCTAGACACCCTGATAAGGCAGTGGAACAGTGACCAGGGTCATGATTCCTCTCTCGTACGCGATCCATCGCATCCGTGTTTTGCCGTCTCTGTGTATGTGAGAACTTTATGTGGGGCTGGTTTGTAAACCTGGTGCTTGTAAAAATATCTTTGGGATGCTGCTAAGCTGGTAAAGCATCCTATTTTTCGGGAGTTCACTAGCTCCATAAGGGTGTTGACGTAATACCCTTAGGGTGCTAGCACTGGGACAAGCTGATTTAAACACTAAGCCGGGGTCGCACTGCTTACACATCATACAAAAACAGTCTGCAAACAGGTTCGAACGTGAGTCACCGCGAGATCCGTGTTCCGAATGCCGCATGGCAATGAGTTCAGCGAGAAAACTTAGGCACGCGGCATTCGAACCACGGTTATTGCGGTACACTCGTGTTTGCAGACTGTCTTTTGTATAATGTACGAGCAGTGTGCCAACGGCTTAAGGGTGTAAAAGTTGTTAATGTGTATGAACACACACACGTTACGGGATGAAATATAATGTTTTAATAAAGGCTCGTTCGTGCGCGTGTGTCTAGCCCGCGATAATATTGCGCAGCACTGCCACAGTACAGTCGTCATCGTCGTTACAATAATCAATACAGCGTGGTGCACGTTGAAGTCACCATATGATAACAGTCGCATACTGGTAGTCAACTTTTCCCTCTACACCTGTTGAACCAGTACGGCCAAATCTCATAGGCAGGTCCACCTCACGACGCCACGCTCAATTTGCTTCTTCTTTTCCCTTTTTTGTTATGCCCTCATGCTCCGCTTGTTATCTTCAGCACTTTTTGACTCTGTTTCTCACGAACTTCAGACAACACCTCCTATACGACAAGGCCGTCCTAGTATTATATTTTCTACGTCAGGCAAGAGCGGGAAACAGACTTGTCACTAGCGCTCGTGTGCAGTATGTGGTGACCTTTGGCCTTCGGTATATGACGTAGAATATTCAGCACTGCGGCCTTCTTATCTGAACAATTTTGCTTCGGACGGACGGCGCGGATGCAGCGTTCTCTTCTCACTCCTGCAACCTTCGGCGAGGTCGTTCCTTCGACCGGGTTTTTACTGACGGAGAGATAGGCTTCTTCCGGGGGCTACCCAATTTCGATAAATCTTGGCCGACCCTAATCCCCGATTGTTCTTGACCGGTATATCGGTCCTCGTCCACCGCCCGAGCCGTGCGATGGTCCGTACCGGCTCCACTCGGGCGATTAGCATAATCCCTCGTTCGCTGCGCTACGGACCATTAGCAGTGGACGCGTTGCACTGCCGCGCTCCCCTTAGCGTCTTAATGAGCAGCCCGAGCCTCGGGTGTCCTGGCCGATGCGCTTCACGTCGCCTATAATAAGTAACGTTCGGCAGCTCGGTAACCGTCGGAGCCTCCTTGGCTGCTCGAAGCACTCGTGCGTGAGGCCTCATGGCGAACGGCAGTGACGCCCGAGAGACAGAAACGAGAGCCGGCGTAGTTGGAAGTTATGAAAACAACCAAAAATGTAACATCTAGGATGCCTTTTGTTTTAATACTGCGCCGAGAACCACCAAATGTTCCTAGAGTGCCGAAACTTTCTAAGGGTCGTTTAAGTATTAATGATTCTGTTGTATGTAAGTTTATACAGCCGGAAGTTAGTCAACTGTAGATGCTAAATTTAGACAACGGGCACCACGCAGTAGGGATACATGACCGCGCGCCGGTTCGACGCTTGTCGAGATCGAAACTTGCAGGGGTGAGCATTGAATCCAGATCCCTGGAAGTCTGCAGCGCGAGCTTTCGCTCCACCTGCTCCGAGCTGCTCTGCGTTAGCTCACTCGACCACGATCTCTCTCTCCCCCCCCCCCCCCCCCCCCTTCTATTTATCGCCTGTCTTTAACATGTCCATACAAAAATAGATTAATAAAAATGAGCACGTCAGCGGATCAATGGTCAGCGCGACACGGTTAAAAGGGTTTAAACTCTGTAAGCCGCTCAAAAACAGACACCCCCTCTGGAACATCAGGCAGAATTTTCCGCACCTCCACAACAGATGCAAGAAAATATTCGCGCACGTGTCTAGATATCGGCATGACGCACAGCCATGCGAGATTTCCAAATGCTGTGTAGGCCTACAAGCATAACACCGTCGTTTCAAGAAGGAGACACTCTGCACATACGTCACACAAAAGACAAGGCCTGCATACCTGATGAGAGGATTATGTGTGGCCACGCCTCAAGTGTATTCGAAGCATGCTTCCTTTATACATCTGTACATGTTTCTATAACACGTGTGCGGACAGTGTTTGCGCGGCCAGTGTGACAGGACTACTATAGAAGGAAGTCTCACGCCTCAGCCAGTGTCTCCCGAGAAAAGCGAACCTTGTGGTGCGAAACGTGTGCTGTAGCCTGTAGAATGCACGCCCCCGGCAGCAAGGCCACTACAATGGCCGCTCATGTGACGTCAGTGAAAGCCAAGCGTACTCGTTGACAACTTTCTGTGGTAAGGGAGTCAAAGGTGCGGTAGTGAGTGCTTGAACACCGATTAAAGCGGTGCACGCCAACACCTCCTCCCTTAAAAAAAAAAAAATTAAACGTTCTGCTCGAATGGAGGCCGTTCCAAAATAGAAAATCTTTTGTTTGAAAATACGGAACAAGACAAAAGAGCCAATATGTTTTCACGTAACATCTGCGAAAAATACATAAATATACTTTTTTTTTTGTCATCGGCTAAGAGTAGGTCGCAGTTATTGGCTTGCTGTGTGCATTGAGGCGGAGCACACTCTTCAACTCTGAGTGGGCTTCGTCTGGGGCCTGGAAAAAATGTTTTTCCTCATCCACTCCACGCACGGAGGTTCCCCAAAAAGCTGACGCTGCCTGTCCTTTCTGTCCTGTTTCGCAGACGGCCTCTTCTACCAGCAGCCCCACCTGGTGTTCGACTGGCGACACCAGGGTCGCCCTCACGCACACACGTCTGTGCCCTTCTACAAGTTCCGCCTCCCTGCGGCCAGCAACCGGACGGACGCTCAGGTCACTGTACGCATCCGTTCCCCCGGTGAGTCATAGATTGATGAATGCATGAGTACAACTGAACCCTTTAAATCGGGCGGCGGCTTGCGCCACCGAGCGGGGGTGGACGACACCACGCCACGAAATTCGGCAGGAAAGTGGCACGCCGCTGTCACTAATGCATATATATATATAAAAAAAAAAGATTCCGCGCTTCCGTCAAGCCTCGGTTAATTTTGAAGAGAGCTCTGTGTGGCTGGTATTCCCTGGAGGCCGTATTGGAGCGTGTCGTGCTCACAACGAGGCTGCAACTATAGTTTTTCAAGAATGTCAATCTCGAGGGTCTGAAAATGCAACGGAAGTGGTGCGAGTGGGAAAGGTCTTTCCCCTTCTTTCAGTTTGTTGAACCCTTGTCCGCAATAAAATTTTAGCTGTGTTTGAGACGTTTTCCTTCTCTTCTCTTGGTGTCAACTTTCGTGTCCTCAGCCCCGGGTTCCTTTAAAAATGTCAATATACACCAGCTCACTTGCTCCCCTACGTTCGGTTCGTGCGTAATGTTTGTAGCCCACGCACCGCGGACGCTTGTGCATAAAAGTGTTGCCGCTTTTAATCTTCGTTTCTCTATTTCATCGTTAGGGTAATGCTCAGAAGCTAGGAGCCTTGTCGTATTTCAAACGGGCGAATATACTTATTTTTCCGTTTGAGTATCTTAATTGGTCTCATCAAGGTTTCTTGTAATCAGCGGCAAAGCTTGAAGTAATTTACGAATGGTGTTTAAGCGACTATAATTAGTTAGTTTCGGCATATAGATACTGCCTAAGCCAGAAGAAAAGATCAGGCAGTACAACTGTAACTTAGATAAATTCCAGTTACTTCTCAAAATCTCGTTGACAAATACGGATTCACATTCATTTCGTCCTCGTCGCTCGTCGTCGCCGCGCCCGCGGAAAATGGAAGAACATTTTTTTTTTTTCTCCACGCGAGGAGAGAAGTCGGGACTCCGTTTCCCGCGCCACGCGAAGCGAGCAAGGACAAGCGAAGAGGGCAGCCCTCCTGGCGTCCCGCCGAGAATTCTGCAACAAGGGGCGAATCGTCGTGTCGTCCGCTTGAAATACTTGTTTTCAGACGTTTTTCGCGTTACGCGAATGCTCACTTTGGCAGTATCCAGTTGCTACGCGTAATGTAGGAGGGTTTTAGGAGCTTCCACCGCGCTTGCCCACTTACTTTACGGATCACGGGTGGCAGTCGTCTCGGGTACGTGACAGCACCTTTCCACCCTCGTTGCGCGATCGTGCTATAGCTATCTCTTTCGTTTCTTTGCACATTGTGGGCGAAAAGTATGACTGTTTTAGGGTGTTAAAGTCTACAGCTCTGATGAAGAGATACAATGGGGCTGCAGTCGAAAGCATACCGCGGCGTCTAAGGACATCGTTGACCGCTAGAATACGGGTGTGTGGCAAGCGGCTGTTTGGCGGACTGTCCGTCGCCATTCGCGTCTCGCTCGATAGTCGTCGTCCCCTTTATTTGCACCGCGACTCTGTGTACAGGTGCTCTCGTTTCGCCGCCTCCTTTTTTTTTTATTCCAGCGCTGGAGAAAATTCGTCTCTTTGCGGCCCGAGTATCGCGTTGCCCGCGTCCGCCGCCTTCGATTTTCCTGAAAGCTTTCTCGCGTGCCGACTGTCAAAACCACCCTCACCGTCCGAGTTGGGTAACTCGCCGCGACTCCTCCCTCTTCAAACGGGTGTCCGGTCGTCCGACTAAAGTTTGAATAATAATAACAATAAAAACAAAACGTATACGACTTCAGGGAAAGATCAAACGTTGTGCTCCGCGTAAGTCTTGTTTTTTTGTTTCTTCTTTCTTTCTTTTTTCCCGCTCCGTTTGAGGTCTGCTTCTGTTTCGTTTTGCATGTTTCGTTATTCAGTGTTTTTTTTTTTGTTTTTTTTTTGTTGTTGTTTTTTTTACTCCCGGCGGTCTTTTATGCTAACGGGAGTTGTATCAGCTGACCCTGGCGTGACCTCCCTCCCTTCCGCGTTTTCGGGAGCGAGCAGCGCTGCGCTTGGTCTTACGTTGAACCGCGGCAGACGCTACGAGCTATCCAAGCAAATCAGGGACCGCGTGAGCCTCACGTGATTTTGGAAAGGGGCGCAGAGCGCGAGGCGCGTAATCACGTGATACGTTTCGAACGCTGGTGGATTGGCTGGGATGGCTAGTAGCGTACGCTGCGGTCCATTCTAAGGGAAACCCGAGTGTAGAACGAGGATTTTCGGTGGCGAAGAAAAGAAGGGGGTTCAGCTCGTAAATTCGGATCGTGCCCCGTCGCCGCCACTGCCCGCGGGTTCGGTCCGAAACTTCGCGGCTACATCGATGCGCCCGCGATTCCTCGCGATTTTCAGCCCTCTTATATTTATGTCCTTATTTTAACCCGAAATTTATTTCTAGCTGGGGTCAGCGAGACCTGCAGCGGACCGATAACACTCAGCCGCGCTGCTCGGAATGGGGACTAAACAGGGCAGAGACTTCACAACAACCTCCTGCAATCCTTTTTTTATTTTTTTTTTTCCTTTCAAGAACGATAAAAAAAAAATGAAACAGTTCGGTAAGGAATAAACAAATAACGGAGTCGGAACAAGAGCTGACACGCGCGGAGGAAGAGGGAAAGAGGGAGAGGGAAAAACAAATCTTTTTTTTTACCGCCGTCGGGATCCCGATGAAATTGTTCGGCAGCCGGAGCGGAACTTTTTTTTCGCAAACATCTGGTTTTGTTTGTTTGTTGCCCTGCAGGGCCTGCGCTACACGCGATGTACGCACGCGCACGCGTGTGCATGCAGTGTGTTTTTCTCGATTTCTGGCGCCGACTCGCGCGCCTCCTATTTCCGGTCCTGTCATTCGCGCCCCGGGTCGCATCGGGCGCCCGTCTCCTGTTTCTAGTGTTGCCGCGCCGCTTTCCGTTTACGTTTATGGCGTTTTTTTTTTTCTTTTTCTTTCTTTTTTTCCTTGTCCATTACGTTAATCTATTTAAACCGTCTAACACTCGGGCCTCCTCTTTCCCCCGGACGAGGAACCTGTGCTCCGTTTCATCTTACGGTGGCCCGCTGCGAACGCCATACGAGCCACCCCTCCAATCCGCCAGCGCTGTGCATGTGACTGCGCGCCCCACACGTCGTTCCGCTCCCTTCCAAAGGGCACGTGGCACTAGCTGGGCATCGGATCGGCTGCTATATGGCTCCTAGCGTCTCCTGTGGTCCATCCTAAACTGAAGCGGAGCATAGATGATAGTCCGCCTAGCCTTGTAGACCCGGGCTTCGTGGCCGAGTCGACTAAATGGACCACGACTCGGCCCCCGAAATTACTCCGCTTTAGGCGGGAACGCATATTTCACGGCTCCCGGCGGCGTGCGATCTCTCTCTCTTTTTGTCAATTCCTCTCACTTTTTCACACCCCCCTCCCCCATTTTTTTTTTATTGGGGGGGGGGGGGGGGTTCACGAAGGTTAGCGAGTTTGTGGTTGTGCGCGTCTCGCGCACCCGCGACTTTTCGCACTTCTCTTCGCGGTGTTTCGTTCCTCAGTAGGCTGTCCTCCTTTTCGTCCCTCCTTTTCTTTCCTTTTCTTCAAACTCCGGGCGAAGTCAGCCGGTATTAGTGGCGGTCGGCCGTCGAAGCAGCGCCGACACCGCATGATTGCCGGGAAGGTCGGTCGACCACTTTTTCCTATTTTATTGGTTCAGCCTTTTTCTCCTCCATTCCGTCCGCACCCCCCCCCCCCCCCCCTTTTTTTTTCTTACTCCGATTTTGGTCATTTTTCTTATTCACTTTCATTTCTTCGTTCTTTGTCCCGTTTCCTTTTCTTTTTTTTATCCTCTTCGTGGTGGCTTTTCCGGGTTTTCTCCCTTTATTTTTGCTCATTTATCCTCTTATTTCTTCCTACTTTTGCAGCGCTCTCCCCATTTTCATTCCCCTTTTTTCTCCGTTTTGCGTCGGTCCTTTTCTATCGCGTTTACTCCCTTTTTACTCTCTCTCTTTCTTTCCCAGAGAAGAAAAAGGGAGAGAAGTGCGCGCGTTTAGTGCCTCGCGCTTGCGGCGCAAATGGGGTTTTATGGACGGGTCTGGCGCTCCGGGGTCCGGCCGTGGGGGGCCCCATCTCGGGACGAGACTGCGGGCCCGGCGACGACCCCACGTCGCGCGGCGGGCTTCTGCGTTTAATGACGGCCTTATACGACACCCCCTCCTCCTCTTTCATCTCTTCGTCCTCCTTTCTACACTCGCTCTTCCTTTTTTTTGTGTGTGTGTGTGCGTTTGTGCGCGCGCGCACACACCGAGGTTTGAGCGCACCGGGGTTTAAGCCGAACAGTGACAAGCTGGTGTAGTCTACACGCTTGTTGGTCCAGTCAACAAGTCGATCTTTCGTCACGGGATCACGCCCAGAGAGTGTCGCGGGCAGTGTTAGCAGTGCTGCGACTGTGTTGCAGAATGAGGAACCCTATTCCGTTCCAGTTCTTTTCCACGGAATACGCCGAAAATCTGAGAAAGAGGAGGAGGCGGGAATGCGAAGGGGACGTCGGAACGCCCTGCACTGGTTGGAATGGTTTAGTGGGTTGACCTGTCTCCACAGGACTCGTCCAATGCGTTAGAATGCGATAGCCAAAAGCCGGACGCCGGCTTTCCGCGGTCCAACGCGCTCGACGGGTGCAGTGGAGACAAAGGCAGGTACCTTTAGGTCTACCCACTAATCCTTCTAATCAGAGCTCGGCGTTCTGACGTCATCGCGCGCTCTCGTCTTCGCCACTCCCTCCGCCATTCGCCATTCCTTAGTAACGAAAACACTGGGCCTATTCCGACTCCTGGATTGCCTAAACCGTTTTATTCCAATCCTCTAATTCCCAGCCATGAAGAATGGCCCCAGACAGCTACATTAAGTTGCCGGCAAATGAAGTCGGCGTGAGGCTGATGTTATCAAACGCGTAGACAACTAGAAAAATGAGCGAAACACGTCCTGAAAGCATGTGTAAAGCTAAGCCGAGCGGTGGTACAACATAGCACTGGCGTG